GGGCGTATACAGAGGCGCCCACTGGGCCACCTTCTTTCAGGAGCCCCTGGATTCCCCCTTCGTCCACATACGCCGCAAAACCTCAGACACACGGCACATCCAATTCCTCTACGAACTGCACTCACAGCCCATGGCCACCCATATTGTCGAGCTTACCCGTGCAGGTTGGTAACGAGGAGCTTCTCTTTCTCTGTATTCACTAGTAGGAAATGCCCATTTCGCGCTGCCAACTGCAGTGCCATTTGCCACTAATTAATTCCATTACCGCTGCTTATGGACATTGCAATCACTGTGATGGCGTAACTTAGAGTCGAAATTGCATAGCAGTTGGCAGCGCGAAAATGGCGTTTTCTGTTAGTGATTTGGGCTGGGCTTGCTGATTGCCCCTTAGGCTGATGAGCCGTGCTCGTGAACATGCAGTGCGGATTCGAACAAACACTTGCGTGGAATCACTCCCCGACATCATCATTCTATAGTGCGAGGGCTTTTTGCTTGTATTTTGGCCAAAAGGTTATCACATTTGCACTTATTGTTACATTGTGTTTGTATTTTTAATTGCAATATTTGTATTTGCATAATTTGCAGTTGCACGCATGACATATATGACACATATGTGTCATGACAAACGTAATTTAAAAAAGGATTCACAAGCGCACACCCGCGCAGCTATCAACCCCACCGACATCTCAGCCCCAGATGTGGCCCTTCTCCGGGTGTTCCTGGTAGGCCCTGTGTACGGCTGGCACAGCTGCAGGGACACGAACCTGAGGCCCAGCCAGTCGGATGCAGCCTCCATGCAGCCGTTTCCGGGATATGGCCTGCACCTGACGAACAAGGCGCATTTCTCCACGACCGGCTGGATGGAGTACTCGCTGGTGACCGCTGAGCGGATGCTACACCACGTGTACGGGGTGGAGGGGCGGCATTCCTGACGGAGGAGGACGCTTTAAATGCGTTCGAACTTGAGCTGCACTACGAGAACATGGTCAGGAATTTTGCGCCAAAGTGGTGGGGAGGATGGGCGGGTGGAGAGGGCGCGCTGCGGTGGTTGGAGCGCGGCTGGTTTGGGTTTGGGTTCGTGTGAATGGGTAGGTTGCTTGGTGGGTTTTAAGTCCGGGAGATGGGAGCCATGCTTTCCATGTGTGTTTGACAGGCTGGAACCGGTGAGCTTCGTGTATCAAAAGTTCTGAAAGTTTAGGAGCATAGCGAGAGGCGGAAATTTCGGAAATGCGGCATTTGATTTGACATCCACGAATTCTAGGGAGTTCAGGACACCTCCGGGAACAAATTTTACAAAGTATTGTCTTCGGTGTTTCCTTGTTGTTTCTTGCACAATGCACACCGCCAGTGCCAATTACCATCGATTTAGCCCAGCTTAGACTCGGGAATGACCGCGAAAATGAAACATTTTGCCGGCGGCTTTGTCGCCTATAGCGGATCTCCAGAGAGACAGCCAGTCTGTTTCCGCACTTCTATATAAGGGGTCGACACGACGCCGCTTGTAACCACCGGATTCTTGACAAGCTTCTTGGCAAAGATATTACATCCCGGTTGTTTTCTTCCCCAAATACATCCATCACAATTTATCTTCACAGTGCAACGCTAAGCGTCCAACTACGCGCCGTCAGTCCTCTGTTAGAACCAACCTCTCGCCAATGGCTCTGCACAGACTCGCAGAAAATACCCAAAAACCCAATCTAAGCGTTAATCTTCTCCGATGGCTCCCGCTCCCGCCAACCCCTGCCGATGGCCCTCTTCTTCGCCACCCGCTTCCCCCCTTACTGGGCCTACTCTCATCTCAACGTCCCTCACACAAAAGAGTGCAAATGCACCAACCGTCGAGCGGTTTCCTTATCTTGACGCTACCTCCTCATCTAGGCCGCATTGATCCACAGAAACAGCTTTCTTCGCGACACCAGTGCTCCCAGGAAGGCTGATTTGAAGCCAAGCAAGCCCCCGCGCTTTGGGTTTTCGACCTTGAATTTTTGGCGGGCAGATATCTTGCAAAGTTAAGCCAACACTGAAATACCACTCCCGCTTGGCTCCTTCCACCCCCAGCCGCCACTGCCGCCGTTACGTAATGGCAAGCACGGAGCGCCGCATCCGTACCCGTTACCTCAACACGTCGACAACAGTGTGTTTTTGGGAATGCAAAAAGAGACCCGACCCAACCTGACCCGATACAATCCCATCACGTCATTTGATACTGCGTGATGTTTTAAATCAGTCTGCGGCGCCGCTCCATCCCTCCCTCCAGTCTTGATGGGAGCTGTGCCTCTTTGGCGGCGCCGCTCCCGCGGGACTGGCCTGCTCGATCATGCACACCAGCCCCAGGAAGAAGATGACGACGCAGCTGACCTTGCGCCACGTTCCCGTGCGGGCGGGCCTCAGGGCGGTGGACACCCGCGCGCCGCGGTCCCAGGAGGGGCGGGCGGGAGCCTGCGCAGGAAGCAGCGACAGGCTCGACGCCTAAAAGAAAGGTACGAAAATTGGTACAAAGAAATGGCACAAGAGTGTAAAATGGTACATGGCGTGCATCACAAAAGTATCTGAAGCACTGTGTACTGCTATGCTTTGTGACACTAGTTTCCCAAAGAGCGTTGTCCATAGCTTCACTAATTCGAGCCCAAGTCCGGCAACCGGTGTTTGGCTTCCACGCACACGGCGTTCAATCACCCACTTGGACGAAATGGGCCCAATTATTGATGCTGCAGTTAGTACATGATATGATGTGTCGGTGCCTTGGAGCTGTATTCACGTTATACAAGTGACTTGCCAGCGTAGCGGTGAATCTGCGCAACTACTGGCCGAGCAAATGGCAGGGAACATCTGCTGGGGAGCGTGCAGTTATGGTGGGCGAGCTTGGTGGCGATGTTTGAGTCGAAGTGCAAGCGGGCGCTGGAGTCAGGATTACTATTCACGCCGCCAAAACTGATAGCATTTGCGCTTTTGCTCGTGAAAACGTGAATGCAAAACGCGAACGCAAATAACAAGTCTAAATGGAACTGTTTTGTGGGATGTGACCTGTGACATGCCCGTGGGAGAGCACGCCGCTGGATACATTGCACGGATCGCATTTGACGATGAGTGGTGCCGCACCCGGAAGCGGTGGCATCACCATTCCGGAATTCCATTTGTCGTGGACAGTGCTGATTGGCAGGAGGCAGGATTTTTGGCACAATCAGAAGCAGGGATGGGCACAGCACTCTGATGGCAATGGTGTCAAACTGGTTGTTGAGACTCAAAAATTTTACCGTTAACTTCGACAGTGCTGCTCTCTAAGTTCATGTTATCGAATTACACTGTGAAAGCCTGTTTCCATAGCTGCCACCTCTTGAGCGATAAATATGTTATTTAGAAATTGAGGAAATTGTCGCGATCTATGGTCGGAAGCAAATTGTGCAAAATGGACAGCTTCTGCCAGTGGCATCCGTAAGGTGGCCTTACTGCGTCTTGGGGAATTGTGCCCGACGCTTCCAATGGACCTCCTCCTGACGGAAACCTTGCAGCGATGAACATCATTTGGCTCAGCCGCAATCCCATGAATTGCAAAGTGCCAGCAGACAGAGCACTGAAAGTATTATAGAAAAGAAGTGCAGTCAGGAGTGATGGGACAATTCCCCACTACATTAATGATTATGTACAGAATGAATGGGCTGCTGACTGCATCTACAATACTGGAAGCGGATGTTCACCTGAACGCCGTTTCCGCTGCATGGCGCGCCGGTTTGCATGCCACCATGACCTTAATGTTTCAAGTTAGAAGAAATGCAAACCGAATTCAAAGCGCGTCGATATTTGCATATGTGAAGAATTGAAATCCTGTGGTATGAACTGAAATGGCAGAGCGCTGTGTTTAGAAAGCTATTGAGCAAGCTTTCATTATTGATCGCGAGGGCATTGTCACTTGATAGTGGAGGCTTGAGCCTCCGTTAGCTTTCTTGACATGTTGAAATATACATATTAAACACCCTTTCAAAGTAAAAAGGACGGAAATTGAGATTACAATATAGCAGCCAAATGTAGTGCGTGGTTAACGGCCGTATTCCTCTACCATGATGGTGCACCGCCGGTTTTGTGGCGGGACAAGAAAACGCAATTTTGGGATCACATTGTGTTGTTGTCAACCCATTTCAAGTCCTTTTCTTCTTTACTGTTGCGTCAAGCATAATGTGTCCACGTCATCCGTAAGAGTTTAGACATTGATGCGACATTGTGGGGGCAATTTTCATTGACGCAATCCCGAGCAATACTTCCGCAAATATTAACAAGTGTCGATGAACTTTCCAGCATTGATATACTGTCATTGGCACAGAAATGCTCGGGATCGCATCAATCACAATATGCTCACATCTTCCTATGAACATTTACCCTTTCCTCCTATAATATCGTTGTACGAGTTGAACCGCCAAAGAGGGATTCCCTTTGAGCCACAAGTATAGCAATCGGCTCGAATTCTGCCTATCCTGTCGTTTCCGCGACATAGCGCTATGTCTGCTAGCGGAAGTGTCCAACAAATATTCTGGGAATGAATCCCAGCGCTAATTTCACCAGTTAGTTGAGTCGCAATCATTTGGTATGTCGGCCTGCCAGTGCGGAAGATGGACCAAGCGGTTCTGTCTTGCTAAATTGACTGTTGAACGCTGGCGCGTCTGAAGAAACCAATGACAAGAATAATGCCTGTGAACGGTTACGTTTGCATGATCTGCGCATTTAGTGACTGGCGTCTATTCATTTTGCTTATTTTTCCCGTATAAATAATTCGTTTTCACAAGGATTGCATCGCTAATGTACTGTATCGGTGCACAACACATCCCAGCCAAAATACCCTGTCAACCGAGTCATAGCAGTGTGCGTCCGCCATGTGACAACTTCTTTTGCTTCAATTGTTAATTGTCAACGCGACTCAAAAAATAATCTGCGAAATTCGAAATTTGGAAAATAATCTGCAAAAATGGCGATTTTTCGCCGGTGGAGGGCACTCAGTCTCGGCTTCGCACTTACAAACTCCTGAGGTCTTTACCGCCGGTGAGTGTGTCGCTGACTTGCTCGCCGTCCAGAGTGTTGCCCATCTGCGGAGGGCCAAAAACACGCTCTCAGGGAATTTATCGATGGCGCAGACCATCGATCAAATCGGTGCCTCAAGTGTTTGCACTGCTCAGCTTACTGACTATTGCGAACAATGACATGACCATGGAATACACAATACGTCATTACGCATTGCATTGTGATATTTTGTATTCGTAAATTGTGGCAATGTGATTGCGGTAGCGAGGCAGTGTCCGCGGTATGTGGTATGGGACACGCTGCGTGTTGCCAATGAAGAGCTTTAAAAAACACGCGGTTCAACGAAAAAAATTTGCGGGAAAAGAAATGCAGAACCATAGCATGCGCACAAATTGTGTACAGTAGTGGTGTCATACAGCAACTCATTCCGCAGATTGCCACAGGGAAGCAGATGTCAGGAAGACGGAAAGCAAGGCGCCGAACGTCAGTTTCTGCCGTTCCCTCCATCCGTACGGTTGAATTTGCTATGCCACTTTGCTCAATGCTCAAAACCACAACAGAATCTGTCAGCTGAAAATGATCAATAAATCGCATAGCACTCCATGACCGTATACGGTAGTCGTAGCTGGCCAAGCGTAGATGCTCGGACACGAACAGCATTATTCATGCGTCGCTTCGGCAAAAAAGTAATTAACGGCGACACTTTCAACATCTGATTTCTCTACCTCTGTTTGCCTGTTTTCTATTGACTTTTCTATCATCGTTTTCACTCATTATCGCGATTTGTGCATTCGATTGACTACAAATGGACAACGAATAAAAGTGAAGACAAGCAAACCAGTGGACGGCCTAAATTTAACACACAATTTCCGAAGGAAAAGGCAAGGCAATGCTCGAATCTAAATTTTGGATCGGCCCGCGTCGCTCTTTACCAATGCCAGACTGCAGGCAAGTGCTGTGGGGATCTCACAATCAGGCTCGTTTTCTACGTCATGACGCATTTACGTATATTTACGCGTTTTAACGTAAAAATAAGTGAATGCACGCTGTCTTTACGCTAAAAGTCATAAGCCTGCTCACGACCATACAGTGGCGTCAGCAGATTGCACCAGCAGTGGCAATGACGCAAATGACGCAAGGTGGCAGCACAGAGGTTGGCGCAAAATTTCATATTGGGGGCCACAAATCCGAGGCGACCAGGCCTGTAAGTCATGTTCGGACGGCAATGTAAATTCGACTCCAGATTGCGACGCCGGTACCAAACACCACCCACCTTCGGGCACGCGCCCACCGCCTCGACTTCCGGCCCCTCTCCGGACGCCTCCTCCCTGCAGCCGGCCTCCAAAACGACTTCTTCGAAATCAGACCCCGCCGGAGACGCCTCCCGGACCCCCACGGCGCACCCCTCCTCCCCGCCGGTCGCCGCGTCGTCGATCAGCAGCTGCAGCGGGTTGGCGCCCGCGGTGACGAGAACCCATCCCCGGTCCGGCCCTTCCCCTGCGCGGCGCAGAGGCGATTTTGTGCGTGCTGCGCGGGGAGTTGTGCCCCGGACACAGGGAATCGGAGGTAACGCCGCGCGAAGTTCGTGATCGGGGCCAATCTCGGGAGCGCGTTTGAAGATCCGCATGCCGGGGGAGGGGGGGGGGGCATACCACCGAGGTGTGATGGCAGAGATCATAGATGGTCGAAGGTGGGAGTGGTGCGCGAGTGGGGCTGGAATTGGAATGATTGAAAACTCGAAGGCGAGGAGAGAAGCGTGGAAAAGGGGGCGAATGACTTTGCCAAAGGCCCCGGGAAGTGAAAGGACGCAAGGGACAAATGCGCATCAAGGAGCCGATCCTGGGGCAACTCAAGCGGGGGCTGGCGGCTCTGGCGGCGCGCCAATCGCGGCCACCGCCGGCGAGCCTCGGCCCTATCGGCTCCGATGTCCCCGGCCGATCGGCCGGTGCGGACGCATCCGGCCCCGCCGCCAGCTTGCGCCCTGCGCGAGGCCTCGCGATCGATCCACTCACTGGCTGGCTCCATCTCCGGGCAGGATGGCGTCCGATGTGCGGCCGGCGCGAGCTGGGAGCGTCCGCGGGGGCCGGAAGGGGAGGAGTGGGGGTGGAGGAGGCGGGTGCTTGGGGTTCGGGGGAAGTCCAACTGTTTCTTATTGTGACCTGGCCGCGTGGCCGGTGGGCGTGGTGGCCCACGCGGACAGGGAGACAGCCTGGAGGGGGGCTGGCGTGGCGCCGACGTGGGCCCACGGGCCCAAGGAACGGTGGTGAAGTACAGGGGTGACGTAAGGTGCGAATTTGACGTGCGGGGAAGGCTGCCGCGATGGGCACCGAAACGCGGCGTTCGCCCCCAGTGGCTTCCTCAGCCAATTGTCCCTCTGCCCCCCTCTCCCGTTCCTTTGCCGTTTTGGGCCGGAAACGCCCAGCCAGCCATCGCCAAGAAATGAGCAACAAAATGCGGGCGAATTGAAAATAAAATACAGGGAGAAGAGAGAAAACACCTGAATTGGAAAGAAACAGAAACAGAAAGAAGAAACCGGAATCAGGAAAGGAGAAGCAGAAAGAACGGGAATCCTTCGCAAGTACTTATAGTACGTAGTAGAACTAAAAGACAGGCACCTCTTGCACTAGTACATTTGTACTTCTTGCAAGAAGTGCTAGAAGCAAACGACAAACACAAAAGGTGCTCCAATGCCTGGTCCAGGGCACATGCTCCACCGCGCGGTCTCCTTGCTCCTCCGCGCGCGCCCGCCGCTGCCTCCCGCCCTTCTGGGCCCCCACCTCCCCTCCCGCCTCCACTCCTCCTCCCCGTCCCCCTTGCGCTTCTGCGTCGTGGGCGCCGGTCCTGCCGGCTTCTACGCCGCCGATCGCCTCCTGCGGCGCCATGGCGACCGCGCCACGGTCGACATCCTCGATCGCCTGCCCACCCCCTTCGGCCTTGTGGCATCCGGCGTGGCCCCCGACCACGCGGACACGAAAAACGTGACGCGGAAATTCGCCCGGCTGGCCGAGGACCCCCGGGTGACGTTCTTCGGCAACGTGGCCGTCGGGAGGGATGATGTGGTGTCCGTGGGGGAGCTCAGGGCGCTGTACCACGGCGTCGTGATTGCCCACGGTGCAGAGGGGGAGCGCCGCCTTGGCGTGGCCGGAGAAGACCTTCCTGGCGTCTTTTCGGCGCGGGATTTCGTCTGGTGGTACAACGGGCATCCAGATGCGGCCAATTTGGACGTTGATCTGAGCTCTGTGCGTGATGTGGTGATCGTCGGGCTTGGGAATGTTGCTCTGGACTGCGCCCGGATCCTTTTGAAGCATCCGAATGAGTTGGCGGCCACGGATGTGGCCGGGCATGCGCTCGCTCAGCTGAAAATGTCGTCGGTGTGCAGTGTGAGGATTGTGGGGAGGAGGGGCCCCGCACAGGCGGGCTTCACGCCCAAGGAGCTCAGGGAAGTGCTGGGCCTGCCGGGGGTGAGAAGATTCGTCAGGGACCGAGACCTGAGGCTGGGGGAGGGGGACGAGGTGGAGATCAAGAAGTCGCGGCCCAGGGCGAGGGTGCACGCCATTTTACAAAAGGCTGCCAAAGAGTCTCTGTTGAATGAAGGAAGGGAAACGTCAGGCGATGGGCAAGCCACGCATGAGGAGAAAGCTGCCAGAGATCCCTTGTCGAATGAAGGAGACAATTCAAAGGATGGAAAAGCTCCTTCTGAGCAGAAGGCTGCAATAGGCCCTGCATCAAAAGAAGGAAGAGACAAGTCAGGCGCTGGCCACGCCCCTCCTGAGCAGAAGACTGCCGGTGAAGGCGGAATGGGGGCACCGTCGATGACAGGTGGGAAGTCCCTGCATTTGCATTTTTTGCGGAGCCCGGTGGAGATGATTGCCGGGCCTGGTGGGGCCCAAGTGGGGTCGATGAAGGTGGAGGTGAACGAGCTGACGCGCACCAGTGATGGAGGTCCAGCGGGGGTCGTGGGCACGGGCGTTTACGAGGAGCTGCCTGCGCAGATGGTGTTGAAGACCATCGGCTACCGAACGCTGCCACTGCCGGGGGTGCCCTTCGATGAGAGGCGGGCAGTTGTTCCACACCGCGCCGGCCGGGTAGTAGGCAGGGATGGCGATCCAGTGCCTGGATTGTATGTGTGTGGGTGGGCCAAGAGGGGGCCCAGTGGCGTGATAGGGACGAACTTGATCGATGCGGAGGAGACGGCGGGTAGCGTGTGGGAAGATGCGGCAAAAATGGAGGCACAGGGGGAGGCGCCTGGGGGCGGGGAGGGCCTGAGGCGGCTGCTGACAGGGCGGGGCGTGCAGGTTGTGGGGTGGGAGGGATGGCGCACTCTGGAGGCGGCAGAGATCGAGGGGGGTAGGATATTGGGCAAAGCGAGAGAGAAGGTCACGTCCGTGGAGGAGATGCTGCGGCTGGCTCTGCAGTGAGGTGGTGTGGATCGCAGTTGTGAAGAAGGGCATGGCAGACGAAGGCGATAGTGGGCACTGGGGAAATCCAATTTGTGTAATGTAATGTATGCAATATTTGTTGAGCAATTTTGTGCACAGTTCCAAGGCCATTAGTCACAGGACCAGTGCGGTTGTTGTTCACAACTGTGATTTTGGCGACCAACTGCCGTGTCATGGTATCAGTGGAGTACGAAGCTGCAGTTGCCCTTGCAGGGAATTCTGGCCGCTGTTCAGGTAAGTGTCAATGCAAAATGCGGCCAAGTAGGGCAGGGCCTTGTGCAGCATGTTTGCTTATTCCGGTGGCAGCATTCCAAAGGGTTTCATGCCTTCGGCATGCACTGTTCCACTCGATGTGAAGACCATCGTTCCCATTGCCAATGTTTTGCCACAGGTTGAGCTGGTTGAAGCCCATTAAATTCTGATTCCGGGGAAGTAGAAAGGCATGATTTGAAGTATGGAGAATCGATTTTATTAGGAAGTTGATGAAATAGGCAGCTAAGTCAGGCCATTTGGATACACAATTGTGATACACACAATGTGATCCAGTGTCTCAGTGACGTGACATCCCAGGCCCATCTGCATGGACACCGCCACTGCAGGAGCACCGCAAAGAGCACCTTGCTGGGCACAGTAGATACAAGGACCAGTACTGAGTTAGCACTTCAACCTTGCACCCCACTCGCCTAAGTGGGTGTAAGAGTGGGACCATAGTTGTGTGCTATTGCCGATCACCTAAAACGAAGGCATGCTGCAATGCTTTCCCTGCTCTTCATTCTTTTGCCAATGGCGTCTTCTTCTTGGTGTTGAGCGCTTTGGGGAGCCAGTACCCATGGACAACCCATGTATTGTCTACCCAGACTCGATTGCACGCTTGGCACCTCTGCTATTGTGCTGAGGATTCCCCTACTCAGTTTCAATGCATCGGCATGCAACGAATACTGTGGAGGCGTTGTCAATGGACGGGCAAGATCACCGTTGTTCGAATTGTACTTCCTTGCGCAATTGTAATGGCTGAAGAGCCCATCTTTCCTTGGTTGTTCACTATATGGCGGCGGTTTGTTTTGCGTGCGCCTCAGCGATCCGGCAGATGAGGGATCGTTGGCAGGCACTTTTCTTGGTCTCGGCTAGGAGGCTATTGACCTTGACGACTGCACCATGTTTTTAAAAAACGAACGGATGAGATGCAGAAAACGTTTCGAATATACAGGTGCCTGTCATCACCTCTAAGATGCAAGAGCTCCGGTTGTCTCCCGAAGGCATTTCGAACAAAGGAATTCAGCAATATTCTCAATGGGCAGGCGAAGGGACCTTTACCCTCAGGAGACCACCTTGAAGACCAACTTTTGGTTGCCTACGGCCTGGATCAAGTCCAGGAGTCCAGGGGCGTCTTACAGCAGCAGCTGCCCTCGCCAAGACTGACCAGTATTCCACCAGCACTGAGCAATATTCACATAAAGTCATCATTGCTCCCCTGAAGGTTTGTGGGTGTTATCCAGCTCTGCTCTTCTGAGCAAAGGCGCAGGTCATCATGCAGGGTTCCACATCATTGAGTTGTGACCAATTTATCTTCAAACTATGATGAGTTTGGGGCACCTGACTTGCAGGTGCAGACAAATTGTTTCGTTGCATGAAACAGACTGCATTAAATTTGGCATAAATGGCGTGGCCAACCAACACATGTTGGACGTCAGGATCCCCACTATCAATGCCATTGTGGGCCACGGACATTCTGTCAACGGCCGATGGCAGTCTGTTCAGCTTGTATGGAGCATCCAGCGTTACAAAAATTGCCTGCATGGGGAGTGGTCAAAATCTGGCTACCATTCTGCACCTGATGCGGAATATCTTTTAATGCCGAAGCAAACAGGTCTGATGAACGATCGACATGTCCGGAATGGAGGTTCCCTTTAACGGTGTGGCGTGGGGTGGGGTGGGGAAATGCGGTCCAGGAAATGTGAACCAGGCGGCGGGCACAATACATTCTGGGCGCGCACCCTGAGGTTTTCCCGTACATTCTGAGCACGAAGTACTGGGTACTTCACCCGCTTCTAGAAGTAGTACATAAAGGCTGCATACTCTCCAGCGAGCACAGCACGCTCCCAGCAGGGGTCGTGTCCTCAACTTTGGCGCACGCGGACTGGAAAAGAAGCGGTCCATCGCCCCACCCGTCTGCGCGAGCGGGATCCAGAGCGGCAACGGGCCCACTGGTTCCTGCCCCTTCGCATCGGCCATGCCGGGAATCGCGAAGGAGGGCTCCCTCGATGCCGTGGCCAGGTGCGCTTGCCGCGGACGCGTGCCCTGCCTGCCCCTCCCGGCCCACGGAAACGCGACATCGGCCGGCGCTGCCGCCTGATTGCCGTTCCCTGCCTCTGAATGCATGCCTTCTTCGCTTTGTTGCACTCGGGGATTTGAGCATTGGCATCAGTGCCATTTCGACGAATGGAAGACGGGTCCGATACATGGGTCCCAGAGGCCCGCAGTTGCATCACAATGCTTGGCGAAACATGCGGACTGATATTGGAAAGAAACCCTCAAAACATTGCGCTGTGTTCAGAGATATCCCCCTTGTCATTTACAACCCGTTGCAGGGCTTGAGTGTTCGCTATTGTGAGGCCCTTGTAGACCTCTGGACAATTGTGGAATTGCGTGTTGATCTGGACGCCATAGAACGTGATGCCCGTGTCATGTTTCAGGTTCCTGCAAAAAATACCTTCATTCATGTACAGTATGTATGAGAATCTGATGCAAACCTCTTGCTGAGGAGGGGTTGGTCCCAGGATTGACATGAAACCTTCCCACCAGCTGGGCAATCGGCAGGTTCTAATCGTGGTGGGTGCACAGGACATGCCGCGAAGTGTCTGAGCGCTGCACATCCATCAGGATCGACCAGACGGCACTGCAACAGTTCGTGGCGGGGCTATCCGTGCCAGAAATCAAGCTGGCGGTCGCGCCTGTGGTGTTCCCTCTTCAGTTTCCATCCATCGAAGCACACGTGCGAGCATTGGCCATCTTCATGAAGCCAAATCCTCCTGGAACATTGGACATTCAACCCAATGGTCGGATGTGTTCTTTCCATGCAATATTAACGGACCACCAGCAGTGTTCTACCCTCTATGATTCCGGTATTTTTCATTTTCTTATGCCGTGCAAAGAGAAAAGGCAATGGGGATACTGGCGACTCACATTCTGAAGAAATTAGTTTTCTCTTCTTCACTCTGACACAGATGAAATGGGAGTCTTGGCACTGAGGAAAAAATAAATCAGGAATGTTTGCCGAGATCTGCAGCACAGCCGTTTACTCCACGCATGAAACAAATTGACGAGCAGGGCCATGATGAGCAATACGCTGCACATCTATTGGACATTCGGCATGTTCCATCGCTGACAACCTGAACAACCTGTCGCTTGATGCAAATTTGACTCAACAGTGCACCAAACAGAGCAGCATACAAAGCAGCAACATGTCCTGCATGTGAACTTGTATCGACTGTCAGATGCTGGTACATCGTTCCTTGCCTGCCAGCTACAAGGACGTGGATTTGTAACTGGATGTTGACAGTCTTAATGGATGACATTGCTTGTCAACCAATATCCAACCTTGAAAAGTTCGGCAGCAAATTGGCTCTGCAGTCGTTTTGCCGAAATCTGCAAGCTCATGTGTAGTTCGTATACCCAAAACCCAACTGCCAGAACGCAAAGGAGCGTATGATTTTTCCAGAGAGCTTACAATGCTGACGTGGTGTTGAAGATGCCCCATCAACAATGAGCTATGCGTTGCTGAAGCGATGGCAGTCAAACTTTGATTTTCAAGCGATTGATCGATGAGCTCAGAGCAGAATGTATGTGAAATGTGAAAGCACACACACACAATCATGTGTCAGCACTTGCAACAATAAATGTGGCAGCGCAGGCATGACATGGCAGTGGATGTTGCAATGGGTCTGGCAGCTTATGTGTGCATTTATGTACGGTTTCTTAACAGCGCCGACATTCCCAATATTCCTTGGGGAGCGCCAAGAAGCCAAGGCCTCGCACTTGGCACATCAATGTATTAGACACAGCAGTTGTGTCTCTAGGCATGTCTGGCCTCTCCACTTTGGGAGCCTACGTTCCCATTCATATAAGAAAGGTGCCAGTAGTCCAAGATGGGTACAACAACAAGAATTCTGTGTCTGTTCTTGATCAATCAACCAAAGACTCCATCAACACCAAGATCATTCTGTAGTCACCCGTTCTGGACAGCTGGCCTTCAGTCACGCAGGCATTTTGGGAATTGAACACATAGAATCTGGGTGCTGGAAGACTGCTCTATGGCTGCTCAGATACTGTTTGACAACCCAAGGTAGCCACACCCATGTTATTCTTGTGCCACTAAAGCTCAGAAGTCCATCATCGGAAGTTTGGACAATTGTTCACATCACCTCCAACCTACGAGTAGGAGCGATATGCCCGTTAATGGTGTCTTCAGGCTGTCCCTTGATGTGAACTTGCGATTGAGGCAAACTTCCTTGACTTCTAACGTGCTGATCATCAACTGTGCCACATACACAGGTGACCTGCATCGCGCTGTGGCGCATGCTTGATTTCGGGTCTGCCTATGACCCTGTTCTCCTTCATCATACCAAGCGCACCGCCCAAGAGACTATGCAGTATGGAGTGCTGAGTATGCTGATCTCTCTTGACAGAGTGGATTGCTACTTCATGAAGACCTTCTCCATGGTTGAACTGCAGGTGAGCGAGGAGAAGAGAACCATTATTCCGGAACAAACACAGTGGAATGGTGCCCATCAGCGATGGGAACACGTTGTGATTCCATATTACTGCATTTGTCAAACACAGGATGAGCAATGCCATTCAGTGACGCACTGTTGTCTTCATTCTGTAATCGTAGCCTGTGTAGCAGCCAGCATGTCCTGAGCTGCTAAACCACACAAAACTAAACTACCAAACTAAAGTGAAACTAAAACTAAGAAGGAGACCACAGCTTCAGCAAAAGTACAGCTGGAGTGTATGGTCGCCGGCACCTCGAAGGCTATCGAAGGCTATCCCAGGCCTTTCAACCCGTGTTGGTTCAACATGGCCATGGCTCTGCACATCATCAATCACACGATGTCCAAACGAATGGGCGCAAAACGCAACATGTGCGATTTCCTTGCTACTGGACTGATTAGGGGCGCAGCAACTTGAGTGCAAAGGCGAATGCAGTGAAGGGATGCACACTACTGAACTGAAAATAGCAAGAGAAGTTGTGCACACATGTCGTGGACGGAAACATGGCTGTCATTGCCTGAAAGGTGCAAGGGCAGATTGCTGTTATCGGCGTTGACAACTGTTGCCAATGTCGTGATCAAGAATTTTGCAGCAAAAGTGCAGTATTCTTTTGCTGAAACTGAAGTATCAGCAATTGTTTCCATTTTGCTTGGGGGGCCTAACTGCGATTGGAATTCCAAAGCTTACAATTCAGCAAGAAGACAACAGCATCGATTGGATGCCTGATCAAATATGTCATGACACAGTAAATGGCCAAAGGAGCTGTGGAAGAGAGGGTGTGGGATTTCCACTGATGGCATTTGCTAAGAGCACATCATGACAACAAGAGTTGTCAAGTGGGTTGTAGTCATTAGGCACAAACACCTGTGCATGAATGCAGTGCCCAGGTAAACCGAATACATGAATGGGAAGTGTTGTCGTATTTGTGGATGGGTTTGAAGGCAGAAGTCAGCACAACTGATACGATTGACTGTGATGGGCACTGCTGATGGTGGTTAATGCAACCGCTATTGATCGTTGCAATGGCTCCATTTGGCAAGAGTTTGACATGATGCGGGCTGCAGGTGTACTTCAGGCTGGATCCTTCGGAGGAGCACCAGGTGGCCCCAGGCATAACCGTCAGTCGCTGTGGGGGGCCCCTGCTGCCGTTCTGCCAGCTCATCATAAATGCCATGAACGAGACCGGGAGGATCTTGGAGGAGAGGCACCACAGAACCTTAGGGGACTACATTGTGTCCACGGTGGCCAGCCTGAGATCATCAGGGTGCGTTGCCTTGCAGTGTTAAAACCTGAAAATTGAAAACAGTGACCCCATGCGCTTGCTCAGTGTGACTCTGCACACACGCCTTGAATTGTTTGTCAGAATGTCGCTATCCAAGTGGCCAGGTGGCGGCATTGGTGACTAATGCAATGCAGGCGAAAACCCTTTGCCGGACCGCTCTCCACATTTTCACAATCAGCATTTCCTTAATTTTGAAATGTTTGATCTGTTCACACAGTTTTAACACTAACTTGAGCTGTTTTTCGATCTGTCATTTTGATCTGTTTCATTTGGCATGCTATGGTTGGCAGTGAGCTTGGCACGTGGGATAAAAGCTATGCGCACTGCTTTGCCGATGATTTTCTGGCATTCCCGAAGGACTGCCGTTGCGCAGAAATTGCCTAAACTTATTGAAAGGCATGGATTGTGACACTGCAGTCTCACACATATAGCCCAGTTCCCAGGGCTTGAGATTCAGTGTTGCCCACAGGTCGGGGATGCACAAGCGTGGAACACTGGCAGTGTAATGTCCAAATTTGTAGCCCCATGCAATATGATTGAAGGCAACATGAGAGAATGCAAATTGACCACGAACCTGCGAGGCAGCAAGGGCAAAGTCATCCATTCAAGTGGCCGGCAGGGCGTCGTGTGACACTCTGTCAAATTTCTTGGTACATGTGTCACATCTGTGCACTCTGTGGAAAAGCTTGGAGTACATGTTTGACGCATCAGCAAATGGCGCTTGCGTCAGCTTCGTTATAGCCGTGGGCAGCTCCTGTACTGTGCAGTACATGCTAGCAGTACTGCCAGTACTGCCAGCATGCTGGCAAAAGCGAAATGGACCTACACATTCTTGCCAGGAGGGGATGCTCCGGTGCATGTGCAATGCGCATTATGCATGCGTGTGCAGGTTTTACACGCACACATATACACATGCAGATATGCCATACTTTGCGGATTTGAAAATACGTGCAAGTATGCATACATCCGAAATCAACCTGTTGTTGTGCGAAACGTGAAACAGCAGTACACCTGAATGGCGCAACCCTGTAATGAATTCAGGCAACCATCAGTTGGCTGGAGGTCCGCAGCGCCCTTACAATGCTTGTTAATGGAACACTCAATCCGTGCGTGGTCAAACACGCACTCCCATTGAGGTGTTGCATTGTTGCGGCTCTGCAGCAAACCGGGCGTGGCCTCCGGGCTTGTCGCAGACTTGGCATCCACCCTTCCAACTTTCAGCGACCAGGCAATGTACGAGCAAAGCCATGAGGTGTCCTTTGCAAGGAAGGCCCAGAGGTTGGTGAGCGACCTCCACGAGACCCTCCAAGAACAAGACGAGCGCTTCCAGTTCGAGGATGTGGACCAAATATCACTGGACTCGGGTGTGCCCCTCATGACCATTCGCTGGATGTTGTTTCTCCCATCATCACTGGCAAGACGCTGGAGCGCTGTTGTGCATCAGCCTATTGCCAATTGTGTTCAATGGACATCCTGGCGTGTTGTTGTCAACCCTTTGGTTTCGTTCGCCAGAGTTGACAAAGTACTGCCACTGCAATCCAAGTCCATGATGGAATCTGTGTCTGGAATTGCATGGAATGGGTTTCCCCAGCATCCTGTGCGGATCAGCAGCACAAATGTAAGAACAGGCACTGTCAAGCTAATCAAAAGATCGATCTTCTGGGGCAAGATCAAGCTATAGTTGAAGGCAAGTGTCGGGCGTGTTTGCCAGCGAATATTGCTTTCAATCAGTAATAGGATGTACAGTGCATCACCAAAGCTGGTGCTCACGTCATGTTCAAACAAAAGAATAAAGAATATTCATGGCACCACGATTATGGAATGCAAATGCTCACCCCATAGAGAAAATTATATGATGGCCTGAACGCTTTTCAAATATGAAAATAATTCCATTTGGAACAGTAGAAGGCAAAGTCTTCTAAAAGTCATTCCAAACTCGGGATGGTGGCTACAGAAAGGTGGTCTCGACTGAAATGAGGGCGCACAAAGATCAGGAATCGCCAAAATGACCACGAAGAATGTGTTTCTTCCCCGCGAGTTGTCAGCATTTGAGGTTGGGGTCAAATGGATGATATACAGAGGTGTCAGCAGACATTTTTGTGTTTTTAATGTTGTTGCATCATGTGCAAATCCTTCAATTGTTTTTTGTGTGTGTCAGGGAACGCGGCAACTGCTGCTCTGTGCCGCAGCGGAGTCATCCAGCTTCCAGACGACTTGTCGTCTGTCGTTGGGTCTCTACAGGATGGAGAGCCAGGTGGGCGCCAGGCCGTGCCCACGGTCATTCAATGACTCAGACAGTACAATTTGGCAAAGGACCCTGTAGTCGTACAGCACACTGCCATGTCTTCAAACAGGTGCTGAACATTATGCAGCGGTTTGCTTTTAGAATAGAACAGACAACTAAAGCGGTTTAGCAGTTGCTAAACTGCTAGTGCAGCGCTTTATCTTTCTGATACTGCAATATTGTTCTTGAAGTAAAATAAAAAACTGTCAAATTAATGGTTTTGGAAGAAATATGGCAACGCACTCTCTTGGTGTCCAGTGGCTCATGTCTGGAGCGGGGGCATCCGTGCGCGGCTGACGTAGGGCCATCTGCTCCTGTGTTGTGGCACAGCGCCATTGCGCATGCAAACACCTTCTGACGCTGGCACAGAAATGCACCTTCGTCACCAGGTGTTTCAACTGGGGAAAACGGCCGGTCGTTGTGATCGTTTAAATTGCCTTCAGCGAGACGAGCCGTGAAAGCGGTTGGTCGCAATTGGCATTGCTTGCAGTCGATCGCGTCATCACGCCAACCTCGAACTATGTGCAAATGTTCTGTCCCACGCAGGCGCAAGTGCGTTTTGTGATCAGAGATGCGTAAACACGTGCTCCTGACACAAGGGAGAAAAGGACCGAATAACACATGTTCAAATGTGTACAAAGTTTAAGCGCTTGGGTCATTTTCGTGTTTTAAGCATGCAGAACGTTGACGAAATGCACGTATATGTGTTCGCAAAAAGTGCTATTGGGTCCTTTTTTGGTAGTGTGATCACGAACTCGTTGACTACGTTAATCGCAGTTCTGTGCCGTTTCTTGTCCGCCCCGCGTCGGCTCGCCCAGCCCCTTGTGTGGCGCCAGGAAGCGCCAACGCCTGCAGGCCTTCTGTTGCCGAGTCGTGGTCACAACAATACTGCTTAATGATGAAGGTTGATAGTATGTAAGATGCGCATGAAGTATTGTTGTAACTAGAACTGATCGAGTATTATTAGCAGCTGGACACATAAAGAGGTGATCAGGCATCAGGATGTGCATTAAGGACATTGATCAATGGAGTGGATACAAGGGACAGGACTCCTGTTGTCCCTTTGCTCAGTTGTAGGCAGGCTTGGTTTACCACCTAAAAGCTGATCGTATTTACGTTTCTACGCGTAAGAACTGTTTTCACGTTTTTGCGCATAAAAACGCGTAAAAACACGTAAATGCAATGTAAATAGAGCCCCATGTACATAAGGGCAGTACGTTGAGACTTGGGGAACTCGGGGAGTGGCAGCCAGACGCACTGGAATGAGTAGAAAACGAATTTTGTTCCATACCGTCTTAACCCTTGCCGAGAGTGAGGTGGACACTGTGTTGCATATGCTGGAGATGGCGGAAAACTGTTCAGTGCATGCGACTTTCATCGTGTAACCTGGATGTCCCAACGAGCCGTAAAAACGCAAAAATAGCCGTAAGAATAGCTGCAAAAATAGCCTCTTTCGCAAATTTACGTTTTTGCGCGCGAAAGGACAAAAGTAAAAACGTAAACGTAAACGTACAAACCAAGCCTGGCTGTAAGCCGTTGCCGCGTGCTCGAGCCTGAGGCCTCCAGTCAGGGACCGCCGCTCCTAGACCCCGCCTGCCTTCGTGAATACTACTCGATGACGAAGGTTGATGATATGCAAGATATGTAGGAAGTATCTCGACGGTGATGATTGGTGTTTTGACGCCCAGGCGACGGGGAGCTGGCGCTGAGGGCCGCGGTCGTCACCGCCGGCCACGACGCCGCCCGGGCGTCCGGAGGCGCCTTCTCTGCTCGCGAGCTCGGCTACTACCTCCTCTCCAAGGCCGGCGACGGCGACGGGCCCGAGGGCCCCCAGGCGTACCTGACCCACGGCAGCGCCGCGTACTGACCCACCAGGGCGCCGGCTGGGCGGACCCCGGATATGGGAATCTCGCGACGTGGGTGGTGTCGTTCCGTTGCGGATGGCCTTTTGCCGAAACGCGTCGAGGCGCTGCATGCCAAGCTTTCGCTTTGTATTTCGAAGGGGAATTTAAGCAAAGGATTTTGGACGTGCCGGTGCCCTTGCTGTGGCTCTATTGTGACCTTCTTTGTGCCTTTATGGCCCTTGTTGTGGCCCGTGTTGTGGATTTGGACGTGGCGATGCCCTTTTTGTGCCCTTGTTGTTGTGCTTCTCGTGATGGGAAATTCGTGTCGGGGAGGGAACAGAGGCCAGAGACTCGCGTGTGGCCGAGGCGGGAAGCAGCAGAGCCGGGTTTCGGACCATCTGCGCTTGTGCGCCCTGGCACTCGGAGCGGCAGCAATCGACCAGGGTGGCCCGACAGCCGTGCAATGTCGGGGTGGTGGCGGTTGGGCGGCGATCCCCTCATAGGGAAAGTGGCGCAAGCAGCCGCTGTAAAGCACTGAGCTTCATGCCGCTTCTTCTCACAGCGGTGCGCGCCGCGCGCTGCCCTGTGCGCACGTGGCGTGCCCGTCTGCCCAGCGGATGGCAGAGGGCCGCGAGTACGCGTGTTCTTTTCATGACTTCGACCGTCGCGTACTGCACGCTGCCGCTGCGGCGTGTGCGCCCGTGCTGCGGATCGCAGGTGGCTGTCCATTGCGCGGGGTAATTCTGTGGTGTCGACCGCCACGGGCGCTGGCCACGCCCAGAGCCTTGCGCCCGCGGGGGCGTGGGAACACCGGCGTCGCTGTCGCCGCCACCCAAGCGTCAAGTTTGGCCCTCAGGCGGTTGGGACAAACACCAGCTGCTGATCTGATCGATCTGACGTCTCCAGCATACGCTCTCCGTGATGCTTGCTCGCCGTCGCGGACCCGTCACTGTCGTATAAACGCCTCCAGCAGTATCAACGTGTCGACGTTGCGCTCGTATCGAAGTTCCAGCGTGTGAACGTGGCGTTCTCCTTGGTGGCTGCCCCCGTCGTCGGCGCTGGTTGCGCCTGTTGCGGCGAACTGGTTGATGGGTTGGCATGGAGCGCCAGTGTTCAGGCAAGTGTCTGCCCCAGGCCGCATATGCTTGTCGGGCGCTGACGCGCTGGGTTCGGCGCGGGACTGTGTCGGAGGCGGGCGCGGTCAACGGCTCGGAGACACAACTGAGGGAACAGGGTTACAGGGAGATCGCTGACAGGCATGTCCCTTCATGCTCAAAACATTGATGTGACTGTCGTGGGCCAGTCACTGTCGCATCGACGCCTCCAGCAGAGTCAACGTATCAACCTTGATCGACGTATCAACGTTGCGCTGGTGCGAACGTAGCAGCGTGTCAGCGTTGCGTTCTCCTCGATGGTTGCTCCCGTCGTCGGCGCTGGTTGCGCTTGTTGGGGCGAACTGGTTGGCTGGTTGGCCCTGTTCGGGCGCGCGTTTGTAGCCTGGCCGCGTGCTCGCTGGACGCCGCATGAGTCGCTGCCGAAACATCAGAACGTCGGAACTGGACGCTGCTGCTTGGCCCTCCATGCAGCTTGCTCGCCTTGCAGGAGTCCAATGGCTGAGCGTGCCATCACGCTCCATGCGCGGCGCTCAGCATGAGAGTGCCTAAGTCTGTCATCGCCGGTCAGGCTTTGTGTCCACCTCGTCCACGGCAAATCACATTGAGAGAATCCGCACACATTGCACCGTCACCTGAGGCCCATGACTCATTTTTGAGAGCTCGCCAACGCTTCCCACGACGAGCTTCGCATTCTGCACGATACATACGGTTCACCCGATTGTCATCAACCCCTCCATGCTTGACGCGATAACCATCCCCTTCAGAGCGAATCATGGAATCTATGAGGGTGTGGCCAGTCACACAATCACAGTACTGCGAGACTGTCACTACCTCGCAGTACTGTACGACTCGCTGGCCCAGTGGTCAAGAGGGATCCAACCGTCCAGGCGCTCCATCCCACCCAGGTTAATGCCCTCGTGGGCGCGTGTGCTGAAGCAGTTCCAGTGATGTGTGCACTGAGCATAGAACAATCAGCCTTGTCTTGACGACGACATCAACTTCACATAGATGACTGGCTTTGGCACTTCGGCCCACCCGCAGTGGCAAAAGAAGTGAGCCTTGTACACTGGGAAGAAAAGGGCCAAACAACACGTGTTCAAATGTGCACAAAGTTCACGGGTTTTTTTTTCCTTCTTGTTCTTAGCGTGCAGAACATTGCTGAAATGCATTTCATATGTGTTCCCTAAGGTTACTATTTGGTTCTTTTTTGCTAGTGGTAGTGCAAAACCCCGCGATCCTACGGTTCCTGATGGCCACGACAAAATTCTCCAGACGTCCACTTTTCCACTCTTGGCGTTTGTTTCTGCCATCACAGGGCACCACATTCTTCGAAACTTCGTAACACGAACACCGCATTAAGTGATCCTGGTTACCGAACAACTTCTAAGGTGCAAGTGTTGAACTCGCCCTTAGTCATAGCCAGTGATGGGGTGACTTGGCACAATGACTAACGGGGACTTCGACACAATGCTCGCAGCACGTTTGCTTGCAAGGATGTTGCAAGACGTCCTTGCAGGAGCCTGTGTGAGGGCAGTGAAGCGAAAGTTCAAAGGGAATTCAAGGGGAGATCGCCCGCCACCATGTTTGGAAATGAAGTTAACTATCCTGTTAATGGGTTTCTGCCAAGGGCGACGATGGGTGGGCTGCACCGGCGATTCAAACGGTGCAGTTTGAACCTGGGGTTTACTCAACCCCGGCCCTTGGGATTTCTGGCCACCCCTAGTACCGTGGGTCAGTCAAAGTACGGTATTCCGAGGTGCCGCCCGCGAGGGCGCCCTCGAGTTTGGCGGGCTTTGGCGGGGCGGCGGGGGCGGCTATTTAGGCAGCCCCTCGGTCCCCCTCCTTATCTTGTTTCGCTTCGCGCCACTGCGTTGGCACAACCCGCAGGCACCGAGTGCCTTGTCCCTCCGGCTACGGCCGAGTCCTTTCTATGAACCGTTCTCCGGCCGAGCAGTGGCTGCACGACCAAGCGGTTCGGTTCAACGACGGTCCGCCTATGGCTTCCCTTGACGAAGTCTGGCTGTCCGACCCCCGGCTCCTACCGCAAGCGGTGACCAACCCGGTGGTCCGACCTCCGGGAGTCCGCTTCCCCGAGTGGTTCGACGTCCGCCGCACCTCCGAAGGCGGGCAGCTCGCGCAGGCCCTGGGCGCCAACTCCGGTTACTTCCAGGAGTACCAAAACTGGGCCCCCTACGTCGCGTGGCAGTTCGACCTCACTGCCGCGCTGATCGACTTCGTGGCGCACCCAGCCTTCCCGCTGCAATTCCGGGAGGCACTCCTGCCATACGTCCACGCCCAAGTGACCATCACGTCGCGCCTTCAGAGCCTGATCCGTCTTCAACAGGTCCACGGCGAGCAGAAGGGAACCTCTCTCGACGGGCTATGGAAAGCGCTCCAGACCAACGTGCGCTTGGGCGCGGTACATCGCCGGTTCTGGGACCCCTTGATCGACGAGCCCCTCGAGCACATCCGCAAGGAGGTCCTCAATCAACAGCTCAAGTTGGCGACGAAGTCCGCGGCGGCTCAACATCAAGCGTAGCTCAATCGCCAACCTTCCGCGGCCTCGCCCCCCGGCGGTCCTTCCTCCGGCGCCAAGCATCAGCGCCCCAAGCCCAAGATGTCCGGCGCCCCATCGGCGCCTCCCAAGCCGACCGCCTAGAGGCCCCGCCCTACGCCCGCCTCCAGGGCCGTCTTGCAGCCTGGCGACGCATCGGCGCCCCCTCCCGGGTGCTTCAATGGATCCATACGGGGGCGCCGCTCCAATGGGGCCCGGGGGGCCCTCCACCCCCTTTCGATCAAGGCGAGTACCCGCTCAGGACCCCGACGGAATGGCAAGCTTGGCGGGAGCTGCGCGACGAGTACCTTCGAACGGGGGCGATCATCCGGACGGAGCCTTCTTCCAACGCCCGGATTTCACGCGCCTTTTTGGTGGCCAAGCCGGCGGAGAACGGGCAGACCAAATACCGTTTGGTCATCGACCTTCGGCGGATCAATCGCCACCTCAAGAAGGTCGGTCTCCGTTATGAGCGCTTGAAGGATTTCGGTTTTCTTTTGAAAAAGCATGACTTTCTGGTGGGCTTTGACGTCAAGAATGCCTACCATCATGTTCGGATGCGCGCCGATCAGGAGCATTTCTTGCTCTTTCGGATGGGTGGTGAAGTTTTCGCCTGTCGGGCGCTGCCGTTTGGCCTCTCCTTGGCCCCCTTTTATTTCACTCATGTCATGCTCGTTGTGGTCCGTTTCTTAAGGACCCCTGCGGCATGTGCACGGTGTTACGAATAGGATGTGGGTGTGGGGTTCCTGCCCTCTTTGAGCCGCGGACCCGCCTCGCCGGGCACCTAGGTCCTTACAGGGCACCTAGGCGGGACCACCCCTCCTACTCCCGTATCCTAATATGGATAAAGGTTACATTGGGTGAGTAATAGTACGTGCCTTGGGCAGGGCGTCCCCCACACCAAGGGCCATTAGTAGGACGTCTCCCACATCAGGCTGGTGCGCGTAACATTCGTCCCCCTCAGGGAGAGGGGCGTCCTCGTCCCAAGATAAGTGAATACGGGAGCAGAAACATTGTATGTATGTTGGTGGAACTGGCTGTGCGATTTGCCACATGCCCAGTTAACAAAACACAACACACAAAACAATTTTGGATGAAGAGAAAGAGTGGTTGTTTTACATGACCGTCCCGGCCTTTACAACCCTCATTAAAACTCTTCCTCAGCCAAGTGGCTGGAAATGTTTGACCTCCCGGCCTTTCGTCGGCGACCACGATGCCGAGTACCACCAAAAGCCCACGCCGGTCCAGATCGGCCCGGTGCGGCACCCCGCCGTCGCCCACGTCCGCGTGCACGCTCAGGCGCACGGGGAAATGGCACGTAGGGGTCGGCGGTGTCCAACCTCTCCCCGTTGAG